TGCAAAAAGAAGACAGTTTCTTCCCTGCAGGTTTTACATTCAGGAAGGCCTAATGAAAGTTTTGACTTACTAGAGCCACTGTGTGAATTTCAATTTTTTGTAAACTCACTATGCGTAGTAAAACCTGGCTTTTTAAATCCCTCATTGACAAGGAACAATATGCAGCTGTAAAGAAGCCAGTTTCTAAATACCATGGGTAAAATCCTGATCCCATGGACTTCACTAGGGCCAGTATTTTACCCCATGCACCTTGGGGAGCCATGCCATTGCACTTTACCAGGCTTCCCAGAAAGCACCATTACCAGCTGCCAATCCCTGCTACTCTGCATTGTTTCTAAACATGCACAGCTTGGGCATTTCCTTGTGTGCATCACATGCACTCTCCTGCCACATCTAGCAAGGGCTCTGTCTTCACAATACAGCTGTTAGTTAAGGTGACTCATTGAGGGTAGGTCCTGAACTAGAAGCTCTGCTCCTCACTTGCATGAGATGGAAATTTTACTCCCCACAAGTCACTGCTTGGGCACTGACAATCTTTCTTCTTCTATTTCAGGGCTGGGCTTTGCTTGCTTGTATCAAGCAGCTGCTGTGATGACTGCCAGGTACTTTAAAAAGCGACTAGCTCTATCCAATGCACTTGCTCGCTCAGGAATGGGACTGACATTTATACTAGCACCTTTCACTCAACTTCTGATAGATTGTTATGGTTGGCAAGGTAAAGTGGTTTTACTTTTTCCACATTTCACCATCAGCACCTAGAAGGGATTGTTATTTTAAAGATTGAAGTTGTGGGGTTGGTTTTTGGCACCTTTTTCTGATAGAGGGGCTAAGCTACTTTGTTTATCTTTGACATATCAGGAATGGCAACTCTGGTCATCCCTGGGATTCTTCCAAAATGTAATCAGTCACTGAAGTTATATTGATGTTAACCAGTGACTATAAAATTCCTCTCTCTCATTTGCTAAACTTTCACACTTTCTTGCAATGTTGTATTTTCACCACTCATCATGGAGTCTGCCAACTGAAACAGGAACTGAATTTTTAAGAATACAAGTAAAGGAGGAAAAAACCTTGAAACATATTTAGTTCTCTTTCCTTCCCCTCGTTTTAATTTATTAGGCAGGGCAATGAGACAGAGAGTAGCTATGTTTCTTATGAGTTTATCTGCTTCCCAGCTAGTGTCTCTGTTTGACATTTCACAAGCAGGAAGGTGACTTCACCTCGGGAAGAAGCCAAACAGAAGGATTGATGCAAGACATACTTTTTTCTTGCAGCAGATTATTCCGTGTGTTCAGTATGAAAAAAGAGCCAATTCTAAACAATGTTTGTGTACTGATCAAAGCATTATGGTGGGAAAAAACACTTATCTTCCTTCCCTCTCTCTTCTCTCAGGTACCCTACTGATCTTTGGAGGGATCATGTTAAACCTTGTGCCTTCTAGTATGTTACTGCGACCTCTTAACATCAAGAATCTCCAAGCCTTTTCTGGTAGAAATGTAGACAGTGGATCATTAACACAAAGTAAACATCCAGCAACTCTTACAAGCCACCTAGATGAAATCAGTACCACAGAAACACAGTTTAATACTAGACTGGATTCTCCTATGCAAGATTCCACTGTCACAAACAGGCTCCAGGCAGCTGGAACATTAGGATCACTAGTTCCAGTGAACTCTGCTGGTTTGGAAGGGTCTGAGAGAGAAACCTCCAACCGCTACGCTCCTGGTGGAGACCGTGACAGGGACTGCAGCTATAACAACCTTCCACTGCAAAAGGAATGGAATTCCCACTCACGGCCAGTTCCCTGCAGGCAGCCTCTTCTTGATTTCTCACTGCTGAAAGATCCCTTTTTCTGTATTTTTGCCTGGTCATTTTTGTTCAGCCAACTGGCCTACTTCATTCCCACCTTTCACCTGGCAGCAAGAGCCAAAACCTTGGGCATAGACAGCATGGATGCCTCTTACCTCATTTCAGTGGCTGGTAGGCAAGAGTCTTCTAACCTTATTTTAAAAATGTATTTATATTTACACAGTGATACAAGTAGGAAAGAAATGTAATAACCCCTGAAATCAAAAAACAGTGTAGTGGTCAGCCAATCCTAAAAGGGAATTGTTGCTCAGTGCTCAAGAGAAAGGCAAACATATGTCCTGGGAGTAAATTCCTTTCTGCCCCTACAGCTGGATTATACCCATAACTGCAGAGAGTTAATTGCTAATTTTTAATACTCAAATAGTGGCAGCAGTCTTTTGACCCCAAGTAAGATGCCTTCAGGCAGAGAAGGAGAATGTCAAGAGTCAATTACCCTCTAGTTGTTTAGCCCAAACCTGACTCTTTCATTTTAAGTTAAGCTACCAACACTCCTTTTTCAAGTCTTTATAGAACCCCTTTTAGGTACTTACACACTCCATGAATAATTGCCTGTTGAGGAGCTTGGGGGCAGTGGTGGCTAATGGGGAAAAGGATATATCACATCTGAGGGTAGAAGCCAAACTCAAGCAGCTTAATGGGACCAAACTGAGGAACATGGTTAATCTCCAGCTAAGCATATTAGAGGAACTGGCACATGAAATTGCAACCCCAATAAGGATTTTTAATGAATCTGTAAATGTGAGGGGGTCATACCCTATGACTGCAGAATTGCAAATATAGGCTCATTAGTTTGGCGTCAACTGTATGTAAGGTCTTAGAACAAATATTTTGAAAGAGGGTAGTTAAGGCCAAAGGTAAACGGTAACTGAGATAAGGTACACCTGATTTTACAAAAAGTTAAGCATGCGAGACCAAGCTGTTCTTTCTTTAGATCTACTGTATTTCCTTTGTCTAGCAAAGTTGGTATCTTAATCTACTTGGATTTCAGTAAGGCATTTGTTGCAGTTCCACTTGGGAAATTAGTTAAATTAGAGAAGAGGAGGCTTAATATGAGAATCAAAAGGTGGGTAAGGAACAGCTCAAAGGGGAGACTACAACAGGTCATGGTGGAGGGAGGTTACTAGTGGAGTTCCTCAAGGATTGGTCTTGGCACACCACTTATTTAACATTTTCATTTGTGACCTTGGCAAAAAAGTAGGTGCGCACTAATAAAATTTGCAGATAAAGTTGGAAATATTGCTGAGGTGGAGGACCCCCAGAATATTCTACCTTGAAAACTGGAGTAATAGAAATGGGATGACATTTAATAGCACAGAATGCAAGGTCATGCATCTATGGACTAAGAATTTTTGATGCAAGCTGGGGACATAGCAGTTCGAAACAGAGGAGAGAGACCTGCATGTACTAGTCAGGATGATTATGAACCACCAATGTGATAGGTATTTTTTTTTTTTTAACCACTAATACAATACTAGGCTATATAAGGTGAGAACACTTCCCTGTTTCTACTGCAATTATTATAGAAGGCACTAGTGAGACCATCTAGAGTACAATTCTGGTCTCCCTTGTTTAAAAAGATGAATTCTAACAGGTACAGAGAAGGGCTACTAGGATGAGACTTTAGACTAACAAAACAATCTCCTTAACAAGCCAAAGAACGAAGGGACAAATGATTGCTCTCTATAAATAGAGGGATAAACAGCAGGAAGGAAGAGGAGTTAAAGACCTATGTTGGTACAAAAACAAATGGACAAACTGTGACCATCATTAAGTTTAGGCTTAAAATTGACAAAGGTTTAACCATCAGAGAAGTGAGGATCTCAAACAGCCTTCCAAGGGGAATAGTGGAGGAAAAAACCTAACTATTTGTAAGACTTGTTTGATAAGTTTATGGAGTGGATGGTATGATAAGACTGCCTACAATGGGACATCCATGACTGCTATTAGCAAATGTCTCCAACTACATGGGAAACTATAAACAGGGAAGGCTCTGAATTACTATGAAGAATTTTCCCAAATGTGGCAGGTAGGTCTTGCCCAGATGCTCACGGTCTGGTTGTCATATTTGGGGTCAGGAAGGTATTTTTCCCCAAGGTTGGACTGGCAGAGAGCCTAAGGGGTTTTTAACCTTCCTCTGCCTTGTGGGGCATGGGTCACTTGCTGGTTTGAATTAGAGTAAATGGTGGATTCTCTGTAACTTGAAGTCTTTAAATCAAGATTTGAGGACTTCAGTAACTCAGCCACAGGCTATGGGCCAGGTTCTGTGGCTTGCAATGTGCAGGAGATCAGACTAGCAGGTCATGATGGTCCATTCTGGCCTTAAAATCTGAGCCTAAATCAAGTTAAGAGCACAACTCTTCTCTTCTCCCCCTCCCCCCCCCCCTTTTTTTTTTGCAGTGAAGACAATACCTTAGGGGTGCTACCTTTATCTTCTCTCCTAACCCTCCCAGCCACTTTGTGCACAATGGCTTCTGTTGTGAAACACTTTGCATTTATGTAACAGTTGGAGAGGTCATAATGGCACACTACAAACAATGAATTTTACAGGCCAGCCTACTTTAAGTACAGCTGTTGTGCATGAAGCCTGTCCACCTCAAAAAACAAACCTTTCTAGTTTCAAAACATGCAAGTAACGTTACATTAAGAAAGTAGCTCCACTCTATCATTAAAGAGCCCTTTATTGTACAAAGAAAGTTTACCTAAAGTGAAATCAACATCCTTGGAATGTTATTTAGGGGATATTTGGGCTAAAGAGGCAACTGATCTAGATTAAGAACACAATGGTTAATTTACAGATGACATTGGCAGGAATAGAGGTAATAAGTTGTTTGTACTCAAACCACTTTCTAGCCAATAGGATAGTCAGTGGTAATCAGCACTTTCCTGAACTTGAGACTAGTTCATATAACATACCCATAAGGTAATGTATATTTTATTAAAAGTGGCCCTGCACTTTTAAAAATGTTCAATTTGTGCCCTTTTTTGCTTCTTCATGATGGATTAAGGTGGGGTTTGGTTTGTTTGGTCTTCTCTGATTTTGCTGGATGTCTTTGTGCATGTGTCATTTACTGTAACTGTCTCACCCCTTAATTTAATTTTTAAAAGAGCATCCTCTCAACTCCAGATGCCTACTGGATGCTTACCAAGCACTAAACGGAAAAAAACACATTTTAGAACAATCTAAGAATCCCATCCTCATCTCTTGTGATGTCATATCCTAAATGTAAAATACAAGCAGAATTTTCTTGACAAACATTTCAGGCAAATGTTTTTGTACATTATGAAGAATCAAGAAGAGCACAAAACCGCTACTACACAATTTCTAAAAGATTTGGCTAGAGCCTTCATAATAATTTTCCATTTCTCTCTAGGGATTATAGAGACAGTCAGTCAATTGCTTTCTGGCTGGATCGCTGATCAGAACTGGATCAAGAAGTATCATTACCATAAGACTTACCTTATTCTGTGTGGCATCACTAACCTGCTGGGTCCTCTTGCCACATCCTTCCCATTACTTATGGTCTACACCGTAAGCTTTGCCATTTTCTGTGGAGGATACCTGGCTCTGCTGCTCCCTGTGCTGGTGAGTAAAGGATCTCATCAAGAGGTAATACAGTAATGCTTTGCATTTCCAATTGAATATCTCAAACACCTGAAATCCTGTGGCCTGATTTTCAAGAGTATTGAGCATCCACAGCTGTCAGATTTCAGCCTGAGGGTCCTGTACTCAGAACTCTCAATATCAAACCACTGGGAACCTTGTTAGTTTACTGGTTTTAGGATTACAGTGTCATTTGCAGGCCAGACACAGCAGAGGTACAGTATTGGGAGTGCCCTCACAACCTATTTCTAGTGACCTAACTCAACCACTTTGCTTCCCAAGTCCTGTGTCTCAGTGCCATTGTTCCAGCTTAGGTATTAGTCTCTATTGGATAGAGTGTATGATGAGAACACTAAATTTCATTCATTTGTAACCTAAATCAGTATTGGTAAGGTGAAGGGCTCTGAATGCTTATGACAAGTTAAGGGAAACTGCAGTATAACATTGCACAAGCAAGATTTGTAGAGATATATATAGCTACATGAAAATGCAGCAGCATCTCCAAAGAGAGAGAGTTTAAAATATCTTCAAAGATGTAAAGATTACTAATTTCAAATGTTTGTACAGCCCAGGGCTAGAAATGCATCAAGCATCCTAGCGATGACAGTACTGATCATACTGATCTCAATCTTGGGTTTAATTCTGCATGGACAAACTCTTTTCAAATTATAACCGAAAGACTATCCAGAGAAACATTTTTCATTCTAATGTGTCTGTACATTATATAAAGTAATAATAATTCTGGTTCCATGAACAGGTAGATTTTGTAGGTGTTCCCAGACTCCACAATTCTTTAGGATTTGCCTCATTCTTTGCTGGGATAGCAGCCATCGCTGGACCTCCTATAGCAGGTAACATATGCAATATTTTCCCTCTATCCTCTTGATAGAAAATTCTTAGTTCTTCTCTAGCATCAAAGTACTTACTAGGAAACATTTGAAAGTCAAGATGAAAGATAGTTGACTTTTTTCTTCAAAAGAAAACTAATTTCTAACAAAAACTAACATGCAAGTGAATGAGTTAATGGTGGTAAACCACAGAGCATTGAAGGAAGAGGAAAGAATTGTGTGCATCTAAAGAAGAGTCAAAAAAATTATGACTTTACCAGACTCAAGTTATTTCAGTTCAACTTGATGCGGAAGGGATCTGAAGAGGTGATACCCTGTTTCCCCGAAAATAAGACATCCTCCGAAAATAAGGCCTACTTACAGTTTTGCCTC